TGTCATAGCTGCACATCCTTCTAGTTGCTGTATGTGGGACACGGCCTCAGCATGGCCGGAGAAGCGGTGCGTCGGTGCCCGCCCGGGATCCGAACAGGGGCCGCCAGTAGCGGAGCGCGCGCACCTAACCGCTAAGCCACAGGGCCAGCCCCTAAGCTAATTCTGATATCAGAAGAGAGAGAAACTTTAGGTTGCAGAGCAAAAGCTAAAAAAAAAAAAAAAAAAGAAAAAGAAAAAGCGGACTGGCCTGTTTTAAATGACAACAAAAACAAAAAGCCACACAAGAAAAAATGAGTTACAAAGCAGGAGAAACTGGCAGTACCTAAGTCTACTTGGAGGGGAAAAGAAGGTGAGTAGCTTCTTTACACGCAGCAAAAGCACTCAAGGAATCCAAGACAAGCCAAGTCCTTCTCCTCTCAAGGAGGAAATCTGAGCTCATAAGCCATGGCTGGAACACCAGCCACACCTTGGGCATCGTACCCAGTACTTTGTGGGCACTGCCTCATTTAATCCTCACAAAATCCCAGTGATTTGGCACTTCTATGATGTCCATTTTACAGAGAAGGACATAGAGAAGGGTCCACCACTGGCTTAAGGCCACACAGTTGGTAGGTGAGGAAGCCACGTTACGGCCCTGGGCTGTTCCGCCTGGAGCCCTCCTTGGTCCTAAGCACACACTGTCCTGCACAGTTTAGGATTTGGCTAAAAGGACACTGTATGCAAATAAATGGAAAGGCTTGTTTTTAATCTACAGAGGTCTCCGATAAAACGATGAAGATAATGCAGGATTAGGAGACCCTTGACTGAGACATCCACTTGGTCATCTCCCGCCCCCACTTAGCCTGCAGGTCTCAGGAGCGATCATGGGCGTGCCCAGTAGCCACAGTGGGCCTTAATCTCCAGATGGAAACTTCTCTGCCTTAAACTCTGAACTGGATAGCTGACAGTTCCCAGCTGCACAATGATCAGGGACCTGTTCCCTTCTCTGTCTTCCCTAGCCCATGCTTTCCACCTCAGCTCTAAGCTAAAAATACTCAAAGCTGGTCATTTGTTGAGGTCTTGATTGTTACTACCAAAGGCATAGTAAAAGGGTGAGCAAATTGCTCCACCAGCCTGGATGAAGGAAGTTAGGTTAGCTCACACCCTGGGGCAATTATGGTCAATCTGCTTACTTTTGCTGCAGTCACTCGGATTAAGGAATGCCACTGAGGTATATACATATGTCAGAATTTATCAAACTGTATACTTAAAATATCCACAGTTTATTGTATGCCAATTTTATCTCGATAAAGTTGTTAAAAAATAGAGGGAAAGGGAGCTATTATAAAGATTAGGACATGGTGCATGTAAAGTGCATAGCACAGTTACTGACACATAGTAGGTACTTAATAAGTCATTAGTAATGAAGGTGATTTACAACAAAGCTCTGGCGCCTACCCAGGTCTCAAAAAATATAAAAGGAAATGCAGTGGAGGCCTTCAGAGTAAGTGGGAAATCTGGATAAACTGCTCAGTTTTATAAATTTGTCAAGAAGAGAAAAAAAGGTTTTATACGACTTACCAGAGCTCATGGTGGTAACAGGACAAGTCTTCTGCAACTGGGGCTCTGAACTGCTCTGCAGAAAAACAGCACACAATGGAATTGATGGAACGGCAGGTTCAAGATAAATCCCTACGGTTCACCTTAAAAATGCGAACACCCTATACAAACCTTGATAAAAACAGAGCTGAACCAGGAGCCACCTGGCCAGCCTTCTGGTTCTTGGTCAGCTGCGAACTAACACGACCTTGGGCACATCACTCAACTTCTGTGGTCTCAGTTTTGTCACCCATACTTGGTTTAGATACTACCCAAGATCTCTTCTGGCACTAACATTCTATTAAAAACCTCAAGTTACATGAGTGCACATGAGTTAAGGAGAGGGTGAAGGAAAGAACCAAGTTTTAGGAGAATTGGTAAAATCACAACACAAACTGATTATCAAAGGTTAATAACAACTTATATAGAGTTTATTATGCACAAAGAAATGTTCTAGATGCTTTAAATATATTAATTCATTTGATCCTCACAACAACCCCACAAGGTAAGCACTAACATTATGTTAGTTTACATAGATGAGCAAACTGGGGCATAGAGAGCTGAACAGCTTGTCTGCCTCTGTGGTAGTGTTGATACTGGAGCCCTGACAGCCTGATGTGAAGGCCCAGGCGCCTAGGCACTGCACTCTACCGCCTTGAGGTGGGAATGCATCCACTTACTCACCACTGATATGCAAATGGAAACCCTCTCATTCAGTACACTGAGTCCTGAGTCCCCAGTAACCACTGATCTGCTTCCTGTCGCTACAGTTTTACCTTTTCTAGAATTTCATAAAATAGTATCATAGTCTATGTAATCTGTATACCTGGCTTCTCTCACTTAGCATAACACAATTTAGCAGTTGGCCACATATGTGTGGGTCTGGCTCTGGACTTTAGTCTGTTCCACTGATCTGTCTTTCTCAAATAACTCATTCTCTTGATTATTACTGCTTTCTAGTAAGTCTTGAAATCAGGTAGTATGAGTCTTCCAACTTCAGTTTTTTTCAAAATCGTTTTGGCTCTTCTAGATCCTTTGTATTTTCATATGAAGTTTAGCATCATCTTATCAATTTCTACCAAAAACAAAAATTTAAAAAGCCTGCTGCAATTTTAATTGGGATCATGTTGAATCTATAGATCAATCTGGAGAAAATTAACATTTTAACAATACTGATTTTTCCAGTTCACAAGAAGGGACTCTCCCTTTATGCAGGTTTTCTTTTTTTTTTTTTTTTCCTGTGAGGAAGATCAGCCCTGAGCTAACATCCATGCTAATCCTCCTCTTTTTGCTGAGGTAGACCGGCTCTGAGCTAACATCTATTGCCAATCCTCCTCCTTTTTTTTTCTCCCCAAAGCCTCAGTAGATAGTTGTACGTCATAGTTGCACATCCTTCTAGTTGCTGTATGTGGGACGCGGCCTCAGCAGGGCCAGAGAAGCGGTGCGTCGGTGCACGCCCCGGATCCGAACCCAGGCCCCGAACCCAGGCCGCCAGCAAAGGAGCGCGTGCACTTAACCACTAAGCCATGGGGCCGGCCCTATGCAGGTTTTCTTTAATTTCTCTCAGCAATGTTTTGTAGTTCTCAAAGTACAGGTCTTGCACATATTTTGAATAGCAAGGTCTAATTGAACATGTCTTAAGGACAATCAAAAAGCAAGTCTTCAGGATATATAGAACCTGCTATTTAAAGTGTGGTCCGTAGACCAGCAGCATTGGCATCAGCTGGGAGCTTATTAAAACTATAGAAACTCAGACTTACCCCACACCAACTGAATCGGAATCTGCCTTTTAACAAGATCCCCAGCTGGTCCCTATGCACTTTAAAGTGTGAGAAGCAATGATGTAGAGGAAATCAACCCCCTGGTTCCTGAATTCTCTAATAAGAAGGTCAAGGTATGGTCTGAAGGTCTGCACAAGGAAACACTTTAGCTTCCTTTTTAACACACTGAAGCTGGGCACTGGCTTCCTTTCTGGGCTGCTGCCTTGCTCACTCTCCTTGGAATTGACCCAGTAGAATGCTAGGGGCAAAAAGGAAATCATTCTAAGTCCTATGCAACCCAAATCCACAGTAACTTTGCTTCTGTCACTATCAAATACACCTGAGACTATCCGTGACCTTCAACAGCCCTCTCAGATAGTTCCCTAAGCTGTGGAAACACTTGTTCTTTCAGTTAAGAAACACAACCTGCTGTGTTCTGTATGCCCCACTGGTTTCCATTCCTGGTTTTATGATCCCTCAGTCGGCCTCCCAGGACCAAAAGGGCTGTCATGATATCATCCAAACATTTTCATGTTTAAAATACTTAAGGTTTTATTTATTCAACTTTAAAAACGTGATTGAAAAAATGTTTTTGATTCAGCCATGAAGCTATCTTAACAGAAAATATTTTTCTTTTTTTACAGTTCTTTCTAACCTTTATCTGCATAAATAGCATTTATGTAGTTGTAAACATAATGTCTGGACAGCTCTGTGTTCTAATTTTTAAATTAAATATTTCCTAAATATTTTTCTGGATTTTTACATAGTCATCATATCTATCATTTTAATGGCTGTATAATATTTTATTGTAATAACACTCCATAAATCATTTACCAATTCCCTCTGTATAGTTTAGTTTAATTCACCTTAATTTTAAAAATAAGTACATAGCACAACAGTATTCTCAGCCTAGGGAAGAGATGAATGTCAATGTCTTATGAACCACACAAAAAGGATGCCTCAACTCAGACCCAATAGTAATCACTGTCATATGTGGGTAGCCCTTTGCACATTTTATATTTCTCAGTATAGATACTAGTAATTTCTAAGTGTCAGCCCCACTCTTACTTACAAACTGATCTAAAGCACATATGGTCAGGGATAATATCCAAAATACCAACCAGCATTTTGCCACAAATGTCCACCAACCAGAGTAGACACCAGTTGCAGCATTCTCTAGGAGCCCCCTCCCTGAACCAGGTGTTAACCATTTAGTGGTTGGACAGTAAGAAGACAGAGAAGGGGCCCAGGATGGTGGGACACTATTTCAATATTTTAGGAACTAGTATGACAGTAGTAGGTGACAATGACAATGCATAGGTGAGTACCAACTCTGCACACAAAGGCTTTCTGGGTAGTGGGTTCTGTTGCGTGCTCTCACTTTGTGATTGCTCGAATCTGCAGCAGGTGACAAAAGAAGTAGGAGGCAGTTTAAAATAAAAACTGCAGCAAGGCTGGCAGTGGCAGCTGTGCCAAGGACGATGCCCAGTGTCCAGTTCTCGCCAATGGTGTCAACAGCAGCAACATCCTATCCAGACTATTCCAAGGCCTGATTTTGGCTCTGATTCCAGCCCACTCAGTTCAACTCCTTGAATTCCTTCCCATGTTCTGAGTGCAGTTCTCCCGCCTCCCATAAACTCTGTGAACCACTCAAGACCCTGCCAATAAATCCCTTTTCAGTTTGAGTTAACCAGAGGTGGTTTCTGGTCATCTGCAACCCAAGAATCTTGACCAGCACAAGCCAAGACAGAGGAGGAAGTCTCAAGATTTCATTCGAAGAGAAGAAACTTCATTCCTCTCTCCTGAAGTGAGCCCGGCCAAATCTGAATCTCAAGTGGCTCAGCAAATGGTTTTGTCTCTACAACCTGAAGAGCTCAAGAGTCAAGGCAGCAGGGACACGAACAGGAAGCTGCACAAACTGAGACTGACCAGAAGAATGCTGAGAGCTTGACAGTCATAATCTAGTCCCTGTAGTTTATTTAGAGACAGTACAAGCGATTACAATCATATGTAGAACATGAGAGTTTATTTTATATAGAAACCTCTGACACTTAATATTTATTTAAAAACTAAACTGTAAAGAGCTTGATTTGCTTGAGAACATGATGGTACTTCTTTGGAATTTCTCCCCCAAGTCCCCTCCAAAGGAGGCAGGCACCTTTGGGTTAAAGCCAAAAAGATAAGCTGTGCCATCTAGTGGCAAAATCAGACAGCTGCAAGTGAGCAGCTATCCCCAAGTGGGTTGCAGGAACCTACACAGTGTCACAGCTTGGGTGGGCCAGCGAGGGTCAAGCCACCATTCCACCCCTTGGGCTGTTGGGACCTACCATACTTGGTCAAAGCACCACAGCATCAACACAGACATTCCACCAGAAGAACAAGATGTGAAGTAGCCAGACTTGTTAAGAATGCATCCAGATAATTAACAGTTCTGCACGGTCCCTCCCTAATTCCACGACCCTATAATTCTGAGATAAGTCTTGACAGAGTGAATAATAACTAAAAAGCAGAAGTTACACTCATGCTTCCAGCTGAAATAGGATCCAATAACTAAATATGGGTTGTTTATTGGGGAAGAAAAGAAGGTCCTTATATGGATGGTTCAGGGATATAAGAATAGGGAAGAATAGAGTTTCTCTGTAAAAATGAATTTGAGGTCCAGCAAAGGTTCTTGGAAGAGAATGAGCCTTTGGCTGACCTCTCACACAGCATGCTCCATCTTCTCCTACGCCCTGTGGGGTTTTGCCTCCATAGCTTCCCCCCACATACATAAACACACACACACACTAGATTGTTAAGTTTCCGGAGGGGAGACACTGTGTCATCCTCAGGACTGAACATACAGTGGGCGCTCCGTCATGAACTTTGCCTTTGTCTTTATTTAACCTTCAGAGCCTAACTTTGGAATCGTATCTCCAAGATAACCAGGAACCTCCTTAACTTCACTGTAGCTACTTAAAAGGAAGCTAGCTCTCCACTCTGACCAAACCCTGGTTATACTCTACAATCTGGGACTTGATGTATTTGCAGCTACTTCCAATGGCTTGAAAAGAAGAGGGACAGCTCACAAAGCCCCAGAATCAGTGCTTGGCCTTATTGCTTTATACTTTGCTGATCTACCAGCAAAGCCACATTTCTCAATTTTTTGACATCTCATCATTTTTTGACATCTCATCCTCTTCTCAATCTCTATTAATAACGTTTCTCTTCAAACGAACTCTCTACATTATTGGAGAGGATGCAAGAGGCTCTTCATAAAGCCAGAAAGGATAAACAC